GGATATGGTAATATCAAACTTTTGTGTTTTAAATTCTTTTTTTTTTTTTTTTTTTGGTTTTTCGAGACAGGGTTTCTCTGTGATTTTGGAGCCTGTCCTGGAACTAGCTCTTGTAGACCAGGCTGGTCTCGAACTCACAGAGATCCGCCTGCCTCTACCTCCCGAGTGCTGGGATTAAAGGCATGTGCCACCACTGCCCGGCGTGTTTTAAATTCTTTAGCCATTTTTTAAGTAAACCTGTGATTGTCTTCTTACTTTATATGATCAATTTACTAAACTGAAAGCTGAAATAACCACACTTTCTCTTAGCTCATAAGAAATGTAAAATCTCAAATTATAATCTGAATTTATTTTTCTAAATATTGGTTTTAAATCTGTGTATCTCTAATAAATCTTTACCACCAATGTAGAATTTTTGATGAAAGAAAAATTAACCAGCTGGGAAAGGGCGTTTGCTTTTCTTCCAAGGGTTTGTTCCCTGAGAGCTGGAAACCCTTGGAGACAGTGTCATCATGCTATTTGGATCTTGCCTATGTAAGTCCAGCATACAACTTCAGGATATAGGAGGCAAAACTGCTCAGGTGACTGTGAATGGTGACATTGTTGCCAATCTTGAGCTGAAGAAGCTCTTGGGGATGTTAACCTATCATTAGATCAAGTTCAAAAATATTTCTGAGAGTAAGCACAAGACCCTGTTCTCTGAGTGCTGAAGACTCCTGCGTGCTGGGCAAAATCTGCATTAGTGACTGTGCTAATAGGAATTATGACTTGTTGGTGAGACTGCTGGAGAGAAGGAGGGTGAGTCTTGAGTCTAAAGGTACCACTGTGCAAAGTCAGGAATACACTACATACTGGATCCATTTATTTAATTATTAACACAGTGATTTTTAAATCTTATTGAATGCACCAACCTCTTGCAGGTCTTGAATGTACAGACTTAGCCCTTCAGTTGCATTTTGCTGTGACTCACAATATAGTAATGTGCTACTTAAATATTCACTTTCTGCTATTCTTTTGGAAATTTATGTTAGTTATAATGAATTGGATAATGGTGCAGGATCTCTTCAAATTTAGAGGAGATTTAAAATGTAGTAAACTGTTACCATAAAATTGGGTGAACAAATTGAAATAGCTTGTTTGCCTCCCTGAAGGAATAAATTTTACTTCCAGGAATAAGTTTCTGTTTTTTTTTTATTTCAATTACCATTTCTATAGTTAAATAATTTAGATGTCATAATCATACACCAAATGAAGCTCTTTCAGTTTTCTTCCCTTGACATATATTAAAGTCCAAAGAAGTAACTACATTTCTTAAGAAAAAGTATTTTGCAGGTGATTTTTATTTTGCCAGTGTCTCTCTTTAAAAGGGGACATCTATCATTGACCTCACAACACAGAGGCTATACATCCATGTATAGCAGTGATTCCAAATTCTTGCTCACATAGATAATGGAAACATTGTCAACACAACATGATGGGTTGAGTAGAAGAGGGCTGTTGTTTCTGATGGTAAACATCAGGCTTAAAGGAAACCAGAAAAGGACAAAACTCAGCATCTCAGCTTGTACTAAATCTTTCCTGATGTTCTGATTGTACACCTTTGAAGATGAATGTGTATTGCATATCTTATTTGGATTATTATAACAATCTAGCTACTGCTTATTTATGAATGATATATGTCCATTTCCTTATGCATTATCCAGGAATATGTGGGCTTCTCTGACCTAGTAAGAATTTATGCCTTGATGTTTTCATGTGGATTGCATCAAATCATTTATTTTGAACATGAAAAAACTTTTTTCACCCCACTATTAATATATTTTTAGTTAAAACTTAAAATTTTTAGAATTTTCTTCGTCTGTGGCTACATTCCCATTTTGTTGTTGTTGTGTTTGTGTGTGTACCTTATTTGCAACTTTAAAGGCATGCTGACACAAGATATACACCTTACCCTGAAATGGATGATATTTAACTCAAGTTTAACTCCAAAAGGAAAAAGGATTATACTTCATAAAACCCTCTTAATTTGTGATTCCTTCTATTCTGACTGTAACTCATGCGGTTCTGTTCAATGATAAGATTAGACATTCTTACCTAAAGTACAGAATTTGTAACCACACTAAACCATTTCTGGTTAGGTAACTAATTTGGAACAAGTATGTTTAAGTATAACATGTTTTGTGTTTTTAGTTCATCCTTATTATCACTAGGGAACTTAATGTCTTTTACAGTCAAAGTAATATTTAGAGATCCATATTGAATCTATACACATTGGAATAATTAGATAGCAGAAATATTTTATAATATTATAAAATATCAAAATAATAGGCATCATATTTCTAATTGAATAGAGGTGATGTCATTTAAAATATTATGGTCAAAATTTTCTTATTGTGTAACATAAAATTGGTATATTTTTGTACTTCATGTATGACTGTCAGTTTGCAATAATAATCAATTAGTCACAAAATTTATTGCCTTTTCCATCCAGTTTTGTTTTATCTATAAATTTTATTACATATTTAGAGTTCAATTCTAACTAGTATATGCTAATATCACAGATTTAAGTGGTGAGTTCTTTAAAGCAGAGGGGATGTCTCTTTATCTTTTCCTGCTGCAATAAGGTGGGGGGAGAGGAAGAAAGATGTCAGACTCTGTCTTTGAAGCATAGCATTACATTCATTTCACTTCATCTAATGGCTCCGAAACACAGAAATATTTTGATTCCTTTATTCATTTAGAATTTCATTTTCATTTTTTAGGTAGCACAAATCTCTACATGCTTCCTGAAGAGATTTTTATTTACAAATATATTGTATTAAAAATGCTTGTATTTTTCATTCTCTAAATTTAAATTTTATTTTTAAGGCAGTGAATATATTTACATGCTTCTCAAAGAGATTTATATTGATGATGTTTGACATATGCTTAAGGATTCTGTAAATAAATTTTAAGACATAAATAAAAGTTTTGCAAACATTTTAATGCTCGTATAAGCTACCAGTCTTTCTACAATATAACACAATTTCCAAATACAATAATGAGTTGGTATAATATTCATAGACAATAATTCTATAACTACAATAGAAACAAATTATTTACAATGTGGCAATGAGCTTGAGAAGACCTAGAAATTTAATTGAAGCTTTTCTAATGAGATTATGTTTTATTTTTTTACTTGAGAATGAGGCTAAAACTATAAACAAAAAATGCAATAAGTGTTCTTTTGTTCAACAACATGTTTGCATTTTCCACTGGTACATTTTTGTTAATGGTGTAAGTTTGATAGATGACAGCATTGTAAAATGAAATATTGCATGCTTCATATTCTTATGTGTTTCACATCTGATTGTAAAGCTGCTACATACATTACTCCCTTAGATATTGTCTGACTAGACAGACAAAATGACTCACAGGGTCTATGTACTTGCCACACCACCCTAATGACTCAAAATCTATCCTCAGATTTTTCCATAGTGGAAGTAGAATACAGTTCTCCAAAGTTCTTCTGTGGCCTTCATATGTGTGCAATGGTATACATCAGTGCACACACATATGACACAGAGAAACACAATAATAGCAATATGCATAACATCTAAAACAGGTAACTAAGTACTTGCCAATAGTGGATGTGCATGTTAAATATAGAGAGATGCAAAAAGAAAGTTTTGTACTGAGCATTAGTTACGTCCAGTGTTGTCAGATTCCATTTTTTGTGACCTTTTAAGATGAATATTTTTAACATCAGGCTACACTGATTTTCCTGCAAATTCTGAAAAGGCCCTAAGTAGTCATATTTTGGTCTAAGTACTCTTTTAGTGTCTTAAATGTTCTTATTTCATATGTGGAATCCACTAATTGGGTTATTAATCTCTCCATATGTCTGTGAGACTTGATTTCATTACCATATTAAATGTTAAAAACATTTCTATGGCAAGTCCTTTTCTTATTAGTATTTTCTTCTGGATATCTCAGGAATACATAAGATCCAGTATATTAGTATTCCTTATGTTTTATTAGATTTATTTCTAGATATTTGGTCTTAACTCATTCATATTTTATGTTATTTGTATTTCATTTTTCATTAAAAATTTAATTGAAATATATTTTCCAGTAAAGATACATAATACTAAAACAGAAATACAGTTAAGCGTTTGATAATGAAGACTACCAAATGTAAAGCTTGTGGTGATGCAACAATATCAGACAAAGGTCTGATCTCCAAAATATATAAAGAACTCAAGAAACTAGACCGCAAAAGGCTAATCAACCCAATTATAAAATGGGGCACTGAGCTGAACAGAGAATTCTCAACAGAAGAACTTCAAATGGCCAAAAGACACTTAAGGTCATGCTCAACTTCCTTAGCGATCAGGGAAATGCAAATCAAGACAACTTTAAGATACCATCTTACACCTGTCAGAATGGCTAAAATAAAAAACACCAATGATAGCCTTTGCTGGAGAGGTTGTGGAGAAAGGGGTACACTCACCCATTGCTGGTGGGAATGCAAACTTGTGCAACCACTCTGGAAAGCAGTGTTTTAGTTTCTCAGGAAATTCGGGATCAACCTACCCCTGGATCCAGCAATACCACTCTTCGGATAAGGTTAAAATTAATAATAAAGTATATATCTTTATGACATATTAAGGTAATTATATAGAGAGCAAAAGTATACTAAGGCAGAAATAATTTATATATGGACATTATGTACATGGAAAAGATTAATAAAGTGATTCTGACATCTTTACCCTCTCTCTACACACACACATATATGCATACATATATGCACACACATATAGATATCTATGTGTGCGTGTGTGTGTTATTTGGGATGTTATTACTTTGTGCAGCCATGCCTCTACAACAACTAGCTCTGTTTGCAGGTTGGCCATGAACTCACAGAAATTTTCCTGCTTCTGCTTCCCTAGTGCTGGTATTAAAGACTTAAGCTACCACTACCTGATTCAAGCAATTGTTTTTACTACTTCAGGATCCGAATGAAGAACTTGGCAGCAGGAAACCACTGCACAGTGAATGAATTCTTGTTGGCTGGGCTCTCAGAAGAACAAGAACTTCAGATGCCTCTCTTCCTCTTCTTCTCTGGAATCTATGTGGTCACTGTAGCAGGGAATGTGGGCATGATCACACTGATTGTGTTCAGTCCCAACCTGCACAATCCCATGTACTATTTCCTCAGCAGTCTGTCCTTCATTGACTTCTGTCAGTCCACAGTTGTCACCCCTAAAATGCTGGTGGGCTTTTTGACAGAGAAGAACCTCATCTCCTTCCCTGGATGCATGACTCAGCTCTATTTCTTTATCATTTTTGGTATTGCAGAGTGTCACACACTAGGTGTAATGGCATACGATCGCTATGTGGCCATCTGTAACCCCTTGCTTTACAATGTAACCATGTCTTATCAGATTAGCAGTGCCCTGATTACAGGAGTGTATATTTTTAGTATGTTCAATGCCTCAATTCTCATAGGCTTCATGATCAGGATTCAGTTCTGCAAATTAGATGTGATCAACCACTATTTCTGTGATCTTCTTCCCTTCTTGGAGCTTGCATGCTCTAATACCTATATTAATGAGTTGTTGATTTTAGTTTTTGGTACATTTAACATTTGTGTCCCAATTCTCACCATTATTACTTCCTATATCTCCATTATTGTCAGTATCCTCAGAATTAAATCCACAGAAGGTAGGTCCAAAGCCTTCAGCACCTGCAGCTCCCACATCTCTGCTGTTGCTGTCTTCTTTGGTTCTGCTGCATTCATGTACTTACAGCCATCATCAGTCAGCTCCATGGACCAAGGGAAAGTGTCATCCGTGTTTTATACTACTGTTGTGCCCATGCTGAATCCATTGATCTACAGCCTGAGGAATAAGGATGTCAGTGTTGCATTGAAGAAAATACTTCTAAGAAAAAATTAATGTTTCATAAGTAATGTGAGGATAATTTATTAGAATAAAGATTTTTCACAAATGCATAGTTTGATTTGATATGATTGTTTTATTCTACTTGTAAGAATTATTACTCATGCTGGGCGGTGGTGGCACACGACTTTAATCCCAGCACTCGGCACTTGGGAGGCAGAGGCATGCGGATCTCTGTGAGTTCGAGGCCAACCTGGTCTACATGAGCTAGTGCCAGGACAGGCTCCAAAGCTACAGAGAAACCCTGTCTCGAAAACAAAAAAAAAAAAAAAAAAAAAAAAAAAAAAAAGAAAAAGAAAAAAAAAGAATTATTACTCATTTGTTAGGGTACTTTGGTAATTTTTATGAATATAAATTTCAGTTGAATTTTCTATGCACATCGTATCTGTCTTGTTTCATAGAATAAAAAATTTCAACCAATAGTTAGGATGACATCAATTCATATGCCTGTAATGTTCAGTCCATCATGCTGTATACATTTTTTGTTTTGATAAATATTACTTTAAAAAATTAAACTTCATCTTCAGTTTCAACAATTCTTATACTTTTATTTATTTTTAATTTGTTTATGAAAATTTCATATGTAAGTGCTATAATTACATCACTTTCCACATCTCCCTCTCAACACTCCTGTGTTCCCCCTGCTCTCTCTTAAATTAGGAGCATCCTTTACTTAAGTTCATACATAATAGGGGGTTAATTCAAAGGAGGACTGATTCTGTTTTTAGTGATTACTAATTGTCTATAGCTCTTTATCTAGGGTTAAAGTCTGCTGCGATTTTTTTACCTTCTACATTGGTGTGTCAACTGATATCAATTTTGGCTCTTGTTTGGCAAACTATATTATTTATATTATATCTCTGCTTCTCTCTATGCTCTTCTCCCCTTCTTTTCTTTCCCATCCATAAGCCACTAAATAAATATCCAACCTCACTCTGCATGGTTTGCCTATACTTCTGTCTTTGTTCTCTTGCTGACTACATGGCTCTCTGCCCAGGGCCATGTGCTTGGGAGACCTACTGCATGTTCTCATGGCCTTCTGCCTCCTGCAACTTCGGGGATGTGGTCAAGGGACCCGGTGCCTCCTGCAACCACTTGGGAACCACTCAAAGACCTGCAGTATTTTGCTTAATCCATAACAGTCTCGTTGTTAAGAATTTCATGGTCAGATGACAATGGTTCCTTCAAACAACTCGGATATGAGGTTTTGGTATGTGGAAATTGACTTACTTCCTAAGAACCTGGAATCAGTTCACTAGGAGCTGATTTCCTGCTTCATTCCAAAGCGAAAATTTTTCTTGGAGTGAACCATATTTTCCCACAGATCCACACCAAACAGAATACTGACACACCACTCTCACCAGTGGACAGGTCATCTAGAACAAAACTAAATAGAGAAATAATGGAGTTACCAGATGTTTTTTAATCAAATGGACCTACCAGATATTTCACCAAACAAAGGAATATACCTTCTGAGCACTGTTGGATTCTGGAATCGCATAAAGAGTGGGAAACAGACCCCCAAAGCAACCTTATTCAAAAACACAGTGAGTGGGAGATGGGAGGGGCTCTTCTAACCAGTTAAGGGTACAGAGAATTATTTGACTCTGTAACCCCAAGAAAGAACTACTAGCTCCATTTTATTGCAAAGGTTAAACACAAGGCAGAGAGTACATATAGGGAATTTTAAGTCCTCATTGCCTTGGGAGTGTCTTCCTTGAACTGGAATTAGGATTTATGATATCTAAGGAATGTTGACCTGAGCTGAACTAGAGGATTTATAGCAGTCAGTCATCTTGGTTCCTGGAGACTTGAGCTAATGTGGGAGCTCACAGAAGTGAGATAGGTTCCACCATGATGAAAGGTCAGAGAGTTCACACATTTTTTTTTAATTGAGAAAAGGAAAAAAAAAGTTTCCCCGTTCCTCCAAGCCTCCCATTTCCCTCCCCCTCCTCCCACCCTTCTCCCCCTCCCCCCACTCCTCTTCCCCTCCCGCTCCAGTCCAAAGAGCAGTCAGGGTTCCCTGCCCTATGGAAAGTCCAAGGTCCTCCCCTCTCTGTCCATGTCTAGGAAGGTGAACATCCAAACTGGCTAGGCTCCCACAAAGCCAGAACATGAAGTAGGATCAAAACCCCATGCCATTGTCCTTGGCTTCTCAGCAGCCCTCATTGTTCGCCATGTTCAGAGAGTTCGGTTTTATCCCATGCTTTTTCAGTCTTAGTCCAGCTGGCCTTGGTGAGCTCCCAATAGATTAACCCCACTGTCTCAGTGGGTGGGTGCACCCCTCGTGGTCCTGGCTTCCTTGCTCATGTTCTCCTTCCTTCTGCTCCTCATTGGAACCTTGGGAGCTCAGTCCAGTGCTCCAATGTGGGTCTCTGTCTCTATCTCCATCCATCACCAGATACTGACGAATATCTTGCATATCACCAGAGAGTTCACACTTTTACTGCTTATTCAAGGTTATATGACAGGAGGTTTGACCTAAGGTGAAACTACTGATACGATTTTTTTGACCTATGGTGTGGTTACTTGATGTTTTGGGTATTAAGAAAGTAATTAATTTGTTTATTCTTTATATCTTGGTAAAGCAGTCTTTTGTCTTCCCCCTCCTTTTTGGATTGGGGTTTATAAAGGCTATGAGAAATAAATGTCAGGCGAATTTCAGTATTTACTGTCGTTCTTATCTCTTCTCTATTTCTTTCTTAATTTTAACCCATCCCCTCCCCAGGAGTGGGTGAATATTTCAGGCCAGACCTGACAATGGTGCCTCAGATGTGGGCCTGGGTATGGGATAATAACTTGATGGACACGAGAGATGAAGAAAACACTGCAGGTGTAAAATGAAAAGTGAGAGCTCAGATAAACAGTAAATGTGGAAGTACACTGAGAATATTGGAAATACGATTAAAACATATTTGTAGATGTAGAGAGGAAAAATTATAGTCAACTGACTTTACAATTGCTTAGACATATATTAAAGACCAGAGAAGCTTGCATAGAGCATCAACAGGTACAGAAATTTTTACTTTGTAAATATTTTAGATTTTCTGCTCCCCCCCCCCCATTGGTGGTGCAGCTGCCTCCATTTTTGAGATGCTCCTGGGCTTGGAGAAATAAAAGCAGCAAGGCCCTGACTTTTCTGGAGCTCAGAGAAAGGAGGTGAGGAAAATGAAAATTGCATGGATCCACTTGCTTAAACTTCTAAAAAGCCAAGCCTTTGCTACAGCTAAATTTGCCATCTGTCCCTGATCTGCAGAGGGACCACTGAGCATGCAGTGCATCCTGTTCAGATCCAGTGGGCAACTGCTAACCATGGCCTCTCAGTTCTGGTCCCTTTGGGATGGCTATACTGCATTTTGGTAGAGAATCTAGTGTGGTCAATGTTCCTCATACTAAACAGCAGGTTGATTGGTTATTTCACAATAATGATTCTTGGGAAATTATGTTTGCTCAATTTTTAGGTCAAATTAATAATCTTTTTCTGACTGGTAGATTGTTTCAATTTGCACAAGTGCATTTCTTTAGTCATGTTGCAGTATTGAGTAAATTAAGCTATGTGCATGTGGCAGTCAATACATATTCAGTTTTTAAATTGCTGCTTGAACAAACTGGAGAAGCCACTAAGTATGTGATAACTCATTGCTTGGAAATTCCTAAAAATACTAAAATGTATAATGGATCTGGATATATTAGTAAAGCATTTCAGCAATTTTTTCCCCCAATGGAATATTGAGCATAAAACAAGCATTCCTTATAATCCTCAAGGACAGGGAATTGTGAAGCATGCCCACACTTCCTTGAAAACTCAAGTTCAAAAATTAAATAAGGAGGAGTTACACCCCCAGTCACATTAAATAATATTTCAAAAAGCTATACTTGTGAATTTTAAAAGAAATTGGAAAATAGAAAAGAAATGGACAATTTTGTTGATAGATACATCTTACCAGAGTTAAGTGAAGATCAGACAAACAACTTAAATAGACCTGTAAACCCTAAGGAAATAGAAGCAGTTATTAACATTCTCCCATCACCCCCAATGCCCCCCAAAATCCCTGAAGGTTTTTTGATGAACCAAAATTATCTCAGGGTCTGTACCTCGAGGCCTGTAGGACAGAAAGAAAACCTGGCTTGAGTTTGAAGGAAAGTCTCAAAGCTACCGAATGGGGATGAGACAGCAAAATCTAGGTAGACACCACTCTGGGTTGGCTGTCTGTCATTGGCTGGAGGTACCGCCTCATCACATGATTTTACTTACCCTATATAAGCTGACACTCAAAGTAATAAACTGAGTTCCTGCTTTGACCTGACTCCCTGTTGCTTCTGATTGTCTTGCATTGGGGGACTGGGGATCTGATTGTCCTGTGTGGTGGGGCTGTAGAACAGGAAGATAGCACACTCACCTTTCCTTGAAGAATAAGGCTAAGGATGCCTGGCAACTGGTGCCAGAACATGGGGCTTGGCTAGTCCCAGGGCCATGCAGTTGGTCAAGTTTAGTGGGACCCCACAATGGGTAACCCAACTTCAAACAAAAATGACCTAACACATAAGGCCCTGAAATGTATGCTACTCTGCCAAGGCCTGTAATTGTCAGTCCACAATGCAATCCAAGCATGGGAGGATATAACTACCCTGGCCCTCTGGTACCCACCAGGAATCTTTTCTCAGGGGACATGTGGAACTGGGTGGAGACTCTGGCCAGAGAAAAGGAAAAACACCTTGATATGCCCCCACCATTGGGATTCTATCCAACCATTAAGGCCCTTAAGGCGTATGTTCACCCCATTGCTCTGAACAGTAGAAAAAGGGGACAGACGAAGGGGAAGATCAAAAATGGGCAAAATTTACTGAAGAGCAGTCCCAGGAGTAAGGAATAAGGCAGGTAAGGAAAAGGTCATAATCTAGGAGAGGTCTAAAGAATTAAAAAAATAACCAACAGGCTCTAGGGGTTAGGGTGAAGGAGACAGGCAAGAAGCAGGAAAAGGTCAAAGATTGGGAGT